GAGAGAGAAGAAGAAGGACTTATTTTGTTTTGTAGTTGCAATAAGTTCAGAACTCCTGCCCTTTATTTTCCTGTGCTTGAAGGATTCTGCAGTGCCAGAGTCCGACAGCGACTCTGAGGACGACGATAATCAAAACTTCGTCGAGGCCATGAACTACAACATCCAAGAGGATGAGGACGATGAAGACGTTCAAAATGCGGGCGAAGCGAACAAGGACGAACAAACTGAGCTTCCTGATGAGCCTCCTGATCGCAGTGAGCCAGGTGAAGGGCATGCACTGCCGCAAATCCGAGCTGTGACTCAGCTATTTTCTTCGCAGGTTGTATTGCTGATTTGCACCCTAATTCCTTAACCTCCAACCCATAACTCAGTAACCCTGCCACTTCAAACCTTACACCGAAAATCCAATCATCGTCTGAAGGAGAGGGCCTCATCTTCCGATGGACACCAATCGCGAGGTCCTCGCAACTTTGTCGTGCCTACAGATCAATTGGCGCCCGGCTGCAGAGGCTACGTGGGTCAACCTGAGAGTGATGCTCAATCGCCGTTCTTGCAAGTCAAAATCATACCTCCTTTGTATTACCAGAAAAAGAAATCCAGAGCTTTCAGTTTCGTGCCGCCGGGTCAAAGACCATTTGCGAAGGGCACTCAACGATCATTTGAGGAAGCTTGCCGATGTGCGATCACGTGGTCGTATGCATTCTTTAATCACCTGCCAACGGCTCAGCAGGAGGAGATACGAGCGAAATACCCGCCGCTGGATTTGCCTAAGGCAAACTCAGGCCAGAAGCGTGCTGGCAATGAGCCTTCCAATGAGCCGGAAGCAAAGAAAGCCAGACCCAGTCGGTAGGACCAGAACCTTCCGAAAGAAGTAGTGAGTCAAAGCATTCGGTAAAGACTTAGGCCTGGATTGTAGCACTTTCAAGTTAACTTCTTGAGCCGAGGGTGAAGTTCCTCACTACGTTTTCGGATTCTGGTCAGCATGAGAAGTTGGTTCGCCTTCGTGTGCCTCCCAGGAAAATCCAGCTCCTCTGCCCATGCCTTCATGTCAAACTGTTGGGGTTCGTCAGCTGCCTTTGTCTTGTTCTTAAGAAACCCTTCGAAAAAGCAGAGAAAACACGTTTCCTTTGGAACTTGGGCGGTGGCGGCTTAGATTAATAGGAACCAAAACATTTGCAGCACCAGCAGATCGTGCCCGAGAGCAAAAGACCATAAAAAAGCGCAGGAAGAGCATAGGAAAGCCGTAGCGAGACTATTAAAATCGTGATTTCAATCCTGAAAGCTTGCGTGTGGCGGATATCCAAAGATTTGCCAGAGAATTAATGTGCTATGTACATAGAGAAGCCCCTTACCGGAACCACTAACGAACTTGACTTCGCAATTCCCTGGCAAAGTGTGTAAAAACCAGCAACAGGCCAAGCGACCATAAATGAAGTCACACCGGAGATGCGACTAAGTATAACATCAACGTGTGTAGTGTCATACCTGCACCAAACACTCATAGTTTTCGGCTCGATCACTCCGTCGATTCCGTCCTGTCGCCTACTGTGTGAAGGGATGCCAAGCACAGAAGAAAAACTGGAAGCCGCGCTTGCGGAGCTAGAGGTGGCAGATGCTGAGGTGCTACTTCTGCGACGTTCCTTAGAAACCCTTTTCGAATGTTTTGGCTGGTCAACGAAGCAAGAATATAAACATAAGTTTCACAGTGCTACGAAGCGTGCATACCAGGTAAAGCGTGCGGAAACCCATCGCTCAATCGCGCGAGCTCGTGTGGAGAAGCTCAAAGCAAAAATGGCCGCGAAGAATGGTGATGCCATGCCAGAGCAGAAACCGAAGGCCACGAAACCACGTTATCGGTATCCTCCTGGCTGCACATGCAAAGCATGTGACGAGAAGAAGCGCGTGTTAAAGGGAGAGATCAAGTCTGTCAGCTCGAAGCACTCGCCTTCGTGCCCGCTAGGCCGCTAGGACTTGCGCGAGCGGCCTTCGGAGCCGGTTTAGCACGCCGAAAGTCTTTCAAGTAATAGGGTGCATGTTTTAACAGCATGGTCTACTGTAGCTAAATTCATCTGTAGACACAAGATGATAGAGAGTTTTTCTGAAACTATCTCTTGGGCGCTTCGGGCTTCCAAGATCAAAACTCGGTACGTGGATCTCGTTTGCGGGATGCTATATCACCTGGGCTTCCATGATCAACGCTCGGTATGTCTCGGGTGTGTGCTGTGCTAGTCTCGGGTAAGATTAGAGTTCGGTACACGGATCTGGAGTGTGGGCTGCTAGGTTCGGGCTTTCAAGATCGAAGCTCTGTACGTGGATCTCGGGTGCGGGATGCTATATAACTTTGGGGTCCCAGAATCAAAGCTGTATGCATGGATTGTAAGTCTCGGGTGTGAGCTGCTCGGTCTTCGAAGATCAAAAATCGGTACGTGGATGTCGGGTGTATGCGTCGCAGCAGCTTAAAGAGTGGATTTCGCGTGCTGACGGATCCGATGTACCGCTTTTCATTTTTCCCAGCTTCAATGGCAAACGTTAGCCATGGAGTCCGAAAGGCCTATGACGGTCTGAGCCGAAGAAACGCGAGAGAGTCTTGCGTCTAAGAATGGGTGGGTTCTCGGTTTAAACTAGCAGCCAACAGTGAAGCCACTGACATTCCTCAACACGAATCTTTGAGGATTCAGCAAGATCATCCAACTGTGAGGCGTCATGTACTTGACATTTAAAATCAGAATCCGTAAACCCCTGTACTTAGAGAGCAAAGCCTCATGACCAAGGCACGGACCTCGGAGACGATTCGCAGGGCAGTCAGATGACGGCTGCGGTTGAGCTTTCGGGGTTTAAGCTGCACAGCCTGACAAAAACTTAACCCCGGCACCTGAACTTGTCGCCCCTTGAAGGCAAGGTTAAGCGGCCCCTTAGACGTGCATTCTCAGTGCTATGTGTGGTCACCCCGGATACATATTATATAAGTATATGTGTACTATGTGGAGAAAACTATGCTAAACACCAAAGACAAGTACGAAGCAACACCGGAGCTGGAGGCTTGTGCGCAAAATAAGATATAATATAAGTTCTACTACGAGGTTGTGCATCCTTGCAAGGTGGAAACCAAACGGTCGATCGCGTGAAGTCGTGTAGAGAAGCTGCAAGCCAAGATGGCCGGGCAGAGCGCCAGTGTCCCGCCAAAGCAAGCGTTGAAACCAAGAGCCAAACCACGATATCGGTATGCTCCCGGTTGTAATGTCATGAAAAGCGGAGCGTCTTGAGATGAAAGATCTAAGTTTGTGAGCTTCACAAGCACGAGCCTTCGTGCCCCGTATAGTACCGCGTAGGTCGTGTGTGAGTTGCTTGTAGTATTCGGGTCCGGTCAAGCACGCTGAGCCTCTCATGCAGAAGGTGTCGGGTGTGTAAGAGTGGTGCTCAGAGTAGCTCTATGAGTGGTAGCGGACACTGCCGACTTGCAAGTACTGTCATTGCATCCGACAAAGACTTGGCGTCATTGGTAACGGACTTCTGTTCCCAGAGCAGGGCATATCCAGACGTGTTTATGGTGTTAAGATAGCAAGCTCGCAAGATTTCAATAGCGACAGTGCCTGCTGTGAAGCTGTTCATGTGTAAAGTTTTGTCATGTGGCAAAGAACCTTGGGCTGAGTTGACTCAGCACCGAGGTGGCAGAATCGATAGCAGAAGTATCATAGAAGAGTTGGCCTCACCGGAAAAGCAGACCTCCAAATTTGTTGCCCTATGCGAGCTACATATAAGATCCGCCTGTGGACGTTTCTCTATCCTTTTATCCTGATGGCAGTCTACGATGAGCAGCGGGTGTACAAGACTGCCAAGCCTAACACTACGTCAGCAGCTCGAAGCGGAGGCCGACGTTGGTTTGGGCATTGGGATTTTACACAGACTGCTTGTTGTTGTGCGCAGACCTCGCGTGGTTTCTCGGCATGTTGTTTTATGATGAACTGAAAGCGATACAAGCCTGTGACACCGTAGTTTCGGCTTGAGCAACATCGCATTCTATCTCGTTTCGCCCTGCCCCTTATGTCGCAAACAACAGTGACAGTGTGCCGAACAATCCGCAAATCTATGTGTGCGACATATATGGACTAAGGCATCCGCTGCTTACCTCTGCTTCAAGATGAGCACCGGCAACTCAGCAACACACAATCCCAGGACGTAAACACAGGTTGTGGGTGGATTGGAAAAGTCCATGCGCTGAATCCGAGGACCTGCGCCCCAGACCGGCTCGTCGTCTTCAGGAGGCTGTCATAGGTAAAGAGCAGTCATCCGAAATCCTTCCCTTGCACTTGGCACCGTCCGATATTCCCTGCAGCACAGCCGTGTGTGTAATTAATTCCGTGCATGGTAATTTTCGGAGAGCCCATGGCAGCTCAAGATTTCCTTGTGAGGTATGTCGCAATCTTCCACTACAATGTATTTTTCTCAGCCCAACGCAGCTCAACCTTTCCTGGTTCTCAACCCAGCGAGTATAGCTCTCCGACAGGATCGGCCGACGTAAGCCCGCCCAAGGCGGCCGTCGGCCTTTCTCTGAGAGGCTGGCGAATCCCGGCTGCAAGGAACCCTATCATGCTGCGCAAATGCTGCACAGTTGCAAGTCGCAGGAGTTTGGCTGGCGCCGGTTAGTCCGGTGCTCTCAGGTGAGTTGTTCCCGAGCAGCTATACGTTTTTTAAAGGCAGCTGGGTTGCACTCAAAGAATACACAACCCAACCGCGTGACCTTGTCGAAGGATCGACGGTTTTGTTGACAGGAACGCATGAAGGACTCGCGACAAATGCGCACAGATCCACACAAGCATGTCGTTGCAGGATTGATTCCCCAACGCTCGCCTGCCACTACCAAGAATTCATCCTGGTGTGACATGGCAGGATGCTACTGAAACTATCACTGTATCTTCAATTAAAACCTTTCAGATGTTATATCTACTCTGCGGGATTTCCAGGCGACCGCCTGATCTCTGCTGTCACTGCAAGAATTGCAGATGAGAACAGCTGGTTCGTGGTGGGCAGACGCCTTGTCTCGACGGTACGGTATAACAACACTCCCATTATCTTCTCTGCTCGACATTTTGACACCTCAGCAGCATTCCTCCTACCCTGTAAACAGCTATGATCCCTTTGCAGGCAAAGACCTCGAAGCTGGCACAAAGGAGGAGTCGACCAGGGCGGGAATCAGCAACAGTATCCTGGCACAGTTACGAAAGATGTGGCACACTTTGCCAGGATCAGTGCAGCGATACCGCAAGTCAACTTTGGCTTATCAGTGTTAATTTCTCGTTGCCAGGTCTCCATCCACTGCGATCCAGCACATCGACAACCCACTGGGCCGAGTTGAAGCCTGCTGGACTCGAGAACTACAACGCGAAGATGAAGCACAGGCTTCCGAGCCATGGGGGTGGGTTGGTTCTCCGGGCTTCCTTCGGAGGGAAGAGCCGGAGAAATAACAGTGGATCCTTCCAGCACGGGCCCGTGGAGTGGCACTACAGGTTGGGTGCCGGCCCGGCAAATCTTGGGTATTACAAAAGGAAAGAGGTCTTGCGGGGCAACAAGACCAAAAACAAAAACCCACTTCCAACCGCCGCCGCCGCTCACCCGGCGTCCACACCGGCAGCGCTGCTGAGCTCGAGCCCCAGTCCAGCGTTGGGTGAAGACTTCACTAATTTCAATAATTTCAATAGTTTCAAAATTATTGAAATTATCGAAATTATTGAAATCTTTGAAATTTCAATAATTTCTGGAAA